TATGATGACCTCTTCTTTGATATTGATTCAATTTTTTAAATATTTCAACAAAAACCAATCTAATATCACCTTGTGTAGGATTTAATGATGATGATAATAACTGTGTTACTTCATACATAGGTTGTAAAATTAATGATAATTCCTAAAATATATAATAAGTATAAAATAAATAAATAATAATTAATTAATTATAATAATAAAATAATAAATAATAAATATCTTAATATGATCCTATTCAGAAATTGTTAAAAAAAGATTATCAAGATCTTCAGGACTTGTTGTTATTAGTAATTCAAAAATATTTTGCATTAAAGTTTGTCTAGCAATCATCAAATATGTAGAATTCTAATGCGTATCTATATCTAAAATTAGCTTTAGAAATTTAACTTTTCTAATAGTATAAATTTCTAATAATTTATTCAATAATAGTGATGAATTTTTTAATTTAACAACAAATTGATGAAGTTTTTTGATTTCATCTTCTACATATTTCATTCCAGCTTTTACTGCCAAGTTGATAATGTAAGCAGCATATCAAAAATGAATAAAAGACATATTATTAAATTCTTGATCTAATTCAGTTGCTAATTGATTACCATATTGCTTTCATTATCTGTTGTCATAGCAAGAATATTCTGACTAATATTGAATTCTTTAAAAAGTTATGAAAGTTTGCTTGTAATTAATTCAGCTCTATAAGAACTATTTATAAGAATTATATCAAGTAAAAGATTTTTTAATTCCCAATTATTATTAATATAATGAATTGTTATTCTAAGATAACAATCTTTTAGATCTGATATCTATATATTTGTTATGAGAGATATTTTTGAATTAATTTGTGAAATTTCGCCTATTAAATTATTTCTTTTTGTATCATAATTTTTTATAAATTTTTCTTTTAAAATTTGTCTATATGATAAAATAAATTGAGGATTCAACTTATTAACAAACAATTTGAATTTAATATTTTCAACAATAGAAAAAGGTTGTAAATCAGTTGCAATAAAATCAATCAATGAATTTGTGATAGAGATGTTTTATTTAAAGTAATTTGATAATTTTCAGTTTTTTTATAATGAAATAAATGTTTTTTAGTTAAATGTTTTTGAAAGATGGTTATTGTATTACTAAACAAATAAATTTTAGCACATAATATGCATTTATAACTTGTTGTTAATCCAGTTTCTTCTTCTTGAATTTTAAAAAAAAATTCCCATACATTTGACTTATGAGTTGTTATATTAGAATCTTCTTCAGTTGCTAAAGAAATTGAAGAAACATCTGAGAAAATATCATCATTTTCATTTGGAATTATGCTGCTACATATTGTACAATACAAACAATAATGCAAAATAAAAATTATTCTAGTTAAAATGATCAACACATCTTACAATTTACATAATACAATATTTATATAGATTGATCGTTCAAACTGATCTAAATACCAGTTCAACTCAATTCAATTTCAGTTTGATTTAATCCTCAAATCAAACTAAAACTAGTTCTATGATTAAACCAAAATCAGACTGATCTGATCACAGACCTTAACATCCTTACTTATTCTATTTAACTCTTGAGACTATAGTAAACTATAATAAATTCATTTACTAGAAAGTCTGATTCAACAGAGTAAAATCATAAATTTGTGTAACTAATTCTCCATCATCTGCCCATCTGATCAATTAATGTCAGATTGATTCATAAAATAAATAATATGCAAGACCAAATTTTCCAAATCATTCAAAATCAATTAATTTTATATCAAAATCATTATCCTCAAGCTTATGAACCATAATGTTCTCTTCATGCAAGTCTCCATACACATGTTCTGAATCATGCAAATACTTAACTGCATTTTCGATTTCTTAAAGATTTTCATTCTTGTTGATTAAGGTTAGAAATAATGTGATTTAATTTTAAATGATTATCTAAACATTCTGTTAGAGATTGAAACCAGCCGAAAATTCTTTAACCGGTTAATAACCAATTAAAATATTTTGTTAACCGGTTAATTAACTGATTAAAATTAACTTTGGCCAGTATTATAAATTTGGCCAGAGTTAGACAATATTTTGTCAATCATAAAAATCTTAATTCTGACCAGAAATTGAATTTCAGCTGGATTTAAATTCATCTATTTTAACCAGTTCTAACCTCTACATTCCATATAAACCAAAAGCCAATTTCCGAGAATAGATGAGGTAGCAAGAACTTTTGAAGCATATTCTACTTTTGCTAATTGCTTATGAGTATCGATAGAATAATGATGATTTTGGATAGCTTTCACGTAGGCTTTTCCATATGAACCTTGTTTTCCTATAAGTTTAACTTCCCAAAGACGATAACTACTGGTTTGAGAATTAATCTGAATGTTATAAGATTCATGATCTATAGTCACTTTAGGAAAAGAAGGAAAAGAAGGATGCATTGGGTAATCTGTTTTAGTGATGCTTTGATCATCAACTTGTTCGTAATATTGATCGAGAAGTTGAAGTGATTTCTTTAGAACATGAAATGTTCTGGAAAGTGATAATATGATTTTTTCATTATTCCTTTGCTAGAGAAGAGGAAGAACTGAAGTAAGCAGATCGATTACAGCTTTATCCGACAGAATAGCACCAGAAACAGAAAAGTAAGATCCTAAAATGCAATCAAAATCATTTAAAAATATGCTTAACTGAATTTACTATTATAACCTACCTGCAATTACAACTAGAAAGCATAGAAGATTAGTCACACTCGAAATGGTAGTTTTTTGTTCCTTGCAGAAAACTAATAATATCCACAATTTTCGAGATAAGGGCAGGTGCTGGAACAACATTGCTCCTTCTTGTACACTATATTAAGTTCCTGATATGCATTAAGAACAGAATAGCTTACATTTTCATCAGTTCTGCGATTATTGATGTGAATTAGTTACACGTTGTGGTCAAAATATTCAGATAACATTCTATTTGCAACATTTTGGCGCTCTTCGCTCTCATAAAATTTCGCCATTTCAATACAAAACTTGAAAGTGAAAAGATTGTCTTTCCATTCTGGAACTTCCTCACAGAAATCCTGAAATTTTCCAAAATTCGAGCAATATAAGCTAACAAGTATTATGCTAGAGGCTAATGGTAGACGATAATTAAAACATATAGATTATTTTACTGTTTCTTGAACTATTCATCAGATTCTCCAAGTTTCGATGGTGATGGCAAACCAGTCAACTTGTTCATGTATGACCTCATAACAACTGTAGAGCAAGGATGTGTTAATTCAGATTATCTGCAAAATTGACTGATAATTAAGATATCGTACCTTCCCTTAACTTGTATATTCTGATTGGATTATTAATTGGACATTTATGTATTTCAATGAAATCAAAAAATTCCTTTTTTGAACAGCTCATATCTATTTCTTTGTTTACAATAACAAATTTATGATCCGTTAATGGGCCCTTGAGATTAAATGCGACAATATAACTATGTAAAGTCACTCCAACCATTAGAGCTAAGACAAATGACATTTGAATCAAGGTATTGAAAATATATATTTATGAGAACTAAAATAAAAAAAACAGCACATTATTCAACGTAGCGGGTATAGAAAATGTTCTCGATAAAATGAAGCAAGAAAATAGTATTTGATTTTGAAGAGTTCGTCATCTTTACCTTTAGATGTTTGTAGCATTACTAGCTTTTCACTTAACTCTTGCACCTTCTTATATGACTCTGTATAATAGAAAAGCTCGAGTTAAAAAATGGTTGTGTTAGTTCAGATTTTGACTGATAATTAAAATAACGAGTACAGTCAACTCTTGTTATAATGAACTCTATGTCCTAGACCTCAACTTCGCTATAAGGCTATAGTGAAGAGTTTAAGAGATTTGATTGGCTAATTCGCTATAACAAGAGTATTTTTATTATATTTGTTCAAAAAATTCGCTATATCAAGAGTTCACTATATCAAGAGTTGACTGTACCTTGTGTAATTAATTCAATTAATTCAATTTGCAATTGTTTCACTTAGTCCCTTCATACTTTTGTCACCTTCTGAAACGTACTTTTCTCTTCCTCTAAATATTTTATTTCAGCATCCAAATCAACTTTATACTCCTCCAAAATTCTCTTTTCTTCCTCATCTTTTTCTTTTCTTAATTTATTTTTCAACAACCTCAATTCATTCTTCAGGTTCTCTAACTTATTCCACTTTTCTTCAAACTCTTCTTCGGAAACTCCTAATTTTTCAAGTGCAATATTTAATTGGTACTTAATTTCGTTCATTTCGTAAAATTTGTAAAATTTAAAAAAAAACATTTGATGATTTATAAATGAACAAGATCACGTGACAAATGTCCAGCGCGTGACGTTTATTTTTTTTAAATAATCACTATAAGAATTAATTTTTTAATTTTTATAGATTCTTCAACCAATCAAAGGTGCAGCGTTGAATTTTATTTGTCACAATCTTCAAATATGACGGACGGTAGAGTTGGTTTTTTTTTTTATTTAAAAAAATATCATGAAAAAGTCGCGTAAATTTATTAATATTTTTTATATTATTTACATATTTATAAATTTTTTTTTTTCAAAGCTTATCGTTATTTACATGGTTAAAATGTTAAAACTATAATATGTGTATATATATATATATGTAGATGTGGATGTAGATGTATGGGAACGTTGCCAGTAAATCATTCCCATTATATAGTTCAATAAAAGTGATGAATAATGTTCGCCAATTATCAAAATGCCAAGAAATTCTAATTGTTTGTTTAACATAAATGATTTTGCCAGTCTATTTTAAATTTTTTTTTTTTTTTTCATAATTTGCCAAAATTAAAATCGTTCGTTCGTTGTAAATGGATATCGCGCGTAAAGTACGAATGTACCTTTGTCGTTTGATTAATTTTCTCGTAATGTGGTCCCGAAAAAAAAAAAAGCTCGCCTTTCGATTTGTAATTCTATTAATAACCGATCGAGAGGGTAATATTTTTATGAGGATAAGCGGATTTGATGATGTTCTTCCAAGATGCTTCCTTCCTTTTTAATTCTTCATAATCCAAAACATCTTCAGTATGAATATTCAAATGGATTTTGTCGATTTGTGGACAAAAGTCTAATAACTGCTCGGCAAGATTTATATCATAAATGCTAAGACCCAAAAATTTTAGGTTTTTACCAAATTTTCTCAATAAAGGTAAAGTAATATCTTGTCGTTGAGTATTGATAATTAACTTTTTAAGAAGGAAATGAGAATAAAGGATTTCATTTGAGAGACCGTTACAATTATCGATTGTGAGGAAATTCAAATTATTAAATTGAGAAATCAAGTCAACGCAAGATTCCGTAAGTTGAACGTGAGAGAGTCGTAAAGAAATTAAATTGGAAACATGATTTTTCAATGAGAAAATGATCGGTTCCGCTCCATCATTTGAAATATCCTCGATGGAGAAATGAGTGATTTTATCTTGAGAATTAATGATGTTAACAATGGCTTCCATTACATCAATATTATAATCCGCGGATTTCAATTTGAATTCAAGAAAAGTAATATGAGAACAGAAATTTGAGATGATTTTCAAAAGGTTTAAAATGTTTGTCGTGATAGGTTCGGAATAGGTAAAAGAGAAATGAGAAAGTTGAGAGAGAGCGGGACGTTTATTATCAATTTCAGTGAAATTTGGAATATCCAATTTGGCGAAATTCTTTTCGAAATATAAAGAATGTAAATTTGATCTTTGTAAAAATAATTTACATAAAGCGGTGGAGATCAAATGAATTTGAGGGTAAAAGGAATCATGAGATAAAGTGTTTGTATACCAACGTTGAAGGGAAGAGAGTATGACCAATTCCAAATCTTTGTAAGAAAATTCTTGTAAAAAGTAAGCATAATTGAATAAAGTTTGTTGAGATTGAGGTATCTTGACTCGATATTGAGATAGTTTAGAATTCAAGGACTTATTATCTTGTTCAGGGAGGCAAGAAAATAACACGTTTAACAATTTATTGTTCGAAGGTTGATAAAGTCGAAGGGATCGATTTTTCAAATATTGGGTAGGTTGAGAGTGATACACTTTTGAGAAGCGTTGAAATGGTTGTTCCCAAAGGATCGGGATGATATTTCGGCACCAATATCTATTAACCAATAGAGCAGAATATATTCCTTCTCCTTGATCCCGAATGCAATCAAAAATTTGTAGCATGCATTCAACTGGAAGATCAGAAATGGTTTTTTTCGGGCGTTTAATGACAATTTTTTTTTTGTTTTGTTTTTTAAGAAGTTTACAGGTGACCTTAAATAGGAGGCAATAAGCTGGCATTTTTATTTTTTTTTTGAAAATGATAAAAGAAATAAGGAAACTTTTGTATAATAATTTTAAATATATTTTTTTTATCGGAAAAAAAAAAAAAAATATTCAAGAAACCCCGTTTATATATATATATAAATTTCAAAGTATATATTTATTTAATTACAATTACTAAAAATAAAAATCAAGGATGCATGTGATGTTGGGAATGTATATTATCATAGTGATATCGCACCTGTTTAAAAACTTGTGGATCTTTTCTGAATTTTCCCGAAAAGAATTATGGGAATAATAAATTAAATTAGTGAGTTTTGTTCTAAGTATGTAATTGATCCTTTTCACAAGAATTTTATCACAAGACCATTTTATTTAATGCTTTTTACGAATCGGTTTAACGTTCTAACTTTTATCCTTCACAACAATAACAACAAGTGCCAATTTATGATTTTCTTTGCTAAGCAGCTGTTATTATTAATGTTAATGTGGGTTATAAATTTATATAAATTAAAAAAAAAGATAGTCCGCGACTCATTCCAAAAAGTAAAAGATCATTTGGTGACTTGATTCACAAAAAAAAAGAGGGTATTATTGAATACATCAATGATCAAATGATGTCATTTGAGGTTATCTGAGGTAATTTAAGGTTATTTAAGGTCATTTGCCAATCATTGAAGATACATCCAACATCTCGGAAAACCTATTCACCTTTGTTTGTTTGTAGTTGTGGCTGTGCTCTCTTAATAATGGCTTAGTAGCAACCCAAAAAAAGTTCCTTATTTTTTTATTGACTGGATATTTTTAGATCTTTTAGATCATTATCAATAAAGATTAAATTAGAACCTTTTGAAGGTTATCTCTAATTCTATGAGATGGTGGCAAATGATCATATGATTGAAGGATGACAATTACCAAATCTGGTTACTCTTTGATTTCTGAGATTTCTCACGCGGGGGTAAAAAAAGGAGTTCTCTTAGCTCCGGCGATATTTGACATTTTACTGATTTAGAAATCTCTTTATATATTTGACTCTTTTTTTTTTATTTTTTGACCCTCCGATTGTGTGGCTTTAACATTTTAACACAGAATTTTAAAAATCTATTTATAGGCATTATAAGCATTGTTATTTTCTTCGAACAATAATGTACTTTTACCAGAAATCAATTTACTGTCAATAAAAAAAAAAAAAGATTTTTTGGCGGGTAAAAAGTGCCGCCAGTTCATTTACAAAAAAAAGAATTCTGCTTATATTAAAATTCGTTCATTATGACATCACATTGAACGGAATAGAACTGATGGAATCATCAAAACATTTAATTTCACAAGAAAACATTTGACCACATTCAATCCAGTTCTAGTCAACCAAGTCACGGTTTACTGCTTAGCTTACTTAAACCAGTTCAAGAGACTAAGCAACTTTATTACGTGTCGCTTTTCCAATCGTTTTACAAGTTTTCCTCATCCGTAAGTTTCAAAACCTAAAATCTTTACCCTATTTATAGTACAAACACAGAATGGTATATAACAGTATTGTCGGAACGCACCATCTTTTTGGATAGACAATTTAATCTTTCATGATTCTTGGATAAACAATTTTATTATCATACATGTCTTGATAAGTCCAACTTGTTTTCTTTAATTTTAAGAAAGTACTGTCACAAGTTGTGGCGGACTTTGAAAAGGAAACGTGAAAATGACTTTGACCATTCCAACCATGAATTCTTAATTGAGCTCGAAGAAATCTGGGGATCTCGTTGCATAAATCAAGAAAGTAATGCCGAGTCTAAAGTTAGCCCATTAATTCGATAGATATTTTTGTGAAAAATCAAACAAGTATTGGATAGAATTAAATGTAAACATTTGACATGATCACAGAGAAGAATCCAAATCAAAAATGCTGTTCAAATCAAAGATTTTGTAAAGTCGGCGAACCAGATACCAAAGTTGCAGGCGTAGGAATGTTTTTTGAAATAGGGGTTTGATCCTTAATGGATTTCTTTTCTGAGACTTTCTCGGTTTATATTGGTAATTTTGATAAATTTTTAGGTGTTGCGTCCTCGCCAGTCTAGCCAATGATTCAATACGTCTGTGACGCTTTGTGGCTCATTTCCCACATTTTGCTTATGATCTTTTCGTGGGTTTCTGGATCGTTTTTAATTCTTGCGGAAGTGTCTCTCAAATAAAGTATAAAAGAGTTTTTGAGGACTGGCGGTCGCTGGGTGGAATATTTCTCTTTTGCAACGATGATTCTATTTAATTAAACTTTGTGAATAAATTTAGAAACGATCGGCTCTTGCAATATTTATTTATAATCTTTATAAACAATACCAAACCTATTTATATTTTTATATTCATAAAGCAAACTAAAAAATAAAAAAAAGGGAATTCATGTTTTGTAAGACATTTAAGCATTACGTTAATGCTACTAAATATTTATTACATTTTTTGTTTTTTTTTGCACCTATATTTAATAATAAAAGAAGGAAAGGAAATTTTAAACCGTTTTTATTCTTGAATTAGCTGCAAATTTAGGAAAAAGAAACGGGGGGGGCATAAAACCTTATTTTTTTTTCGATATACACATTTTGCGCAATTAGATATCGAACGACCGATCATCGCCAATTGAATGCTGTTTAAAAAGATCTGAAAATCTTTTGAGATTGTCACAAAACCTTACGACCGAAAAATTAGATACGTAATTTATAAGTGAATATTTACTTTTCGTAGTTAGTTTCAAAAAAAAAAAAATTTTTTTTTTCAGAAGCGATAAGTGGTATATATTAACCCAAATTTGGTCTAATTCAAACAATTCCAAAATTCCAAATTAAGATGACCAATAGCTCCTTGTGTCTTGTGTCTATATTTTCGGAACCCCAACATTAAAATTTTCGATTTTCCTTGTTTATACATATCAACGTCTTTGCACCCGTACATGCATTCAAGAAACTGCAAGTTTAATAATTATATCGAAATTAA